TTTTTTATATTTAAAATGAGATGTTTATCCTGTATTTGATTGTGTTTATCTGTAGTTAGTTACACGAATTCAGTTATGGGATGAAATCGGATAGGGATAAAATTGTTTAGGGATGAACGGGTTTAAGAGTTTTAAGAGTTTAAGAGTTTTTAAGAGTTTTAGCCAAATGCTTTATAATATAGTATAGATATATATATATATATATATCGTTTCAAATACAACTCATCACATTTGTACAACCAATACAACACAATAAATTGAGATGTTTATGGAAATGATGAAATTTCATTTATTATGATTTGAATATTTATTAATTATGATCAATACTTTATATTAATAAACAATCAAAACTTCTATGAAATCACATATTCATCAAATTAAATGGACGGTTAAGATTGAGTTGTATAGGTTGTACAAATGTAAGATGTTGTATAATAATTCACCTCTCTCTCTCTCTCTCTCTCTCTATATATATATATATATATATAGACAAGATTCATTTGAGAGTGCATAAAATTGTGATAAATTGAAGAACATATTGTGTTATTTTACATTATTTTATTCATCTACGACTTGGATGAAGTGTGTTTGTTAACATATATCTGTTTCACAATGTGAATTTTTTTTATGTGTTTGTGAAACTAAAAATACAACTAAAAAGTTTCACAATGTGAATTAAATACATATGAAATGAACATATTGTGAAACAAATATATGCTAATCAATATATTAAATTCTAGCTTTAAATGGAAAAAAAATCAAACGAAACAATATTTCATGATAGTTTTTTTCTCATAGTTATCACAATATATCAGGTTTTCAAACGATAATTAAACTCCATATGTGTGTATATATACATACATATTTAAGTCTTTATGGGTCAATGAAATTATTGCACAACACTCAAGTTTCAGATTCAAATTCTTTTTATACCATTTTTGAGAAGAAACATAACCATTTACTTAAATCAGACAATTTGTATTTCATATCATTTATGAAAAACGACATAGCCCATTCACGTGAACTACGACTAATTCAGCAAGGATCGAAGATACATCAAATCACAAATGTTGCGTTAGAACTTGATTGATTTGTTTGTAAGCTATTAACTATGATTAAAAAAAACGCCTCAAAATACAACCACAAGGGTTGTGTCTGGTTGGTTTGAGCTTGGACTCCAAAGGTCAAAAGTATCAGGAGGATGCCTGGAGGTCCCAGGTTCGAATCTAAGAAGATATAAAAATCCACTTATGACCACAGAGATTCAAATGCAGTGACTCCGGGCTACCCACGAAATAGGTAGTCGATCTAGGATTAGTTGGCCTGCATAACGGGTTAGATATTCAGGTTAATAAAAAAGTTTGCATTTTCATAAATCTTATTTTTGGTATAATTAATTAGTTTCTAAAATACAAAAAAGTGGCTTTAATTATTGACTTTTTTAAAGTTTAAAGAGACCCACATGTCCCTTTGATGTATTAATAAATTGATTATTACCATAATAAGACTTTCTTTGAGTTCCAACAATTTTGGATTTTTCTCACAAGTGAAAGAGAAAGGGTTTCTCACCAAAATAACCCTCTAAAATATTAGAATTATATTTTTAACCTTAAAATTTTAAAATTCTAATAAAATGGTCATTCGTTATCTTGTTAGCACTGTTTGATGCGTATATGGACTAAATTGGAAAAAAAAATTGAGTTGATTGATGTGTACGCACCAAACGATGCTAACAGGGTAACGAATGACCATCTTGTTAGATTTTAAAATTTTAGGGTTAAAAATGTAATTTTGATATTTTAAAGGGTTATTTTAGTCAGAAACCCTAAAGAGCAAACATTTGGGTTCCAATTATTCAAACCTTCTGGGTAGAATAAAACTTGTTCCAACCTTGCAATGTTATTGAGGGTATAAATTGTGAACCAATACATATGACTAGTGATGGCCAAATCGGCCAGGCTGGTCCGGATCACCAGAGAAACGAAACCGGGACCGGTTATGCATTTGGACGGATTTATGGGATTAGCCTGGCCCGGCCTGTTAAGTTAAAAAAAAAAGTCGCTTTTTGACCGCTGAAAATGTTTATATGACTGTTTTTTGCGATTTTTGACTCTTTTTTTCCTTTAAAGTATACTTGAGTGATCCAATTACAAACTTTATTATGAATTCAAAAAATCTATCATTAAAAAAATATATTATTTTTTGGTAGGGACCAGACCGGTTATGAATCAAGTTAAACGAGCTTAAGTTTAATGATTGAGACCAAGACCGGTTATGAATATCACTGTTCCGACCTGAGACCAAATTTTATCCATCACTACATATGAGATCCGCTATTTGGGCTTACAGCCCATTTGCGTGCTTTATTTGAGCCCAAAGTTCAAGTAATCCTTCTTTATTATACTTCCATTAACAAAAAAAAGGAAAAATACATTAAAATAAATATATTTGATTTTAATTATTATTGTGGTAGACGAAAACCAAAAAATATATTAAGTAATCTTTCGATATGAGAGTCAACATGGTCAAAATTGCATGAATCATCATATAAGTTATTTTACATGTGATTTTAGTGTAAGAATCAAAGTTCTAAAAAACGCGTTTTGGTGCGTCATAACGTCAAGCATGGCCTCAACGCCACGTTAATACCCGTGGCACGGCATTGAAGCGTGGCTTGCAGTATGGCGTGTTATGGCGCTCATGATGGGTTATGGCTGGTTATAAGGCGTGAATGAAGTTTTATTTTGTTTTTTTATATATAAATTAAGGGATTGAAAGCGGGAATCCATTGACCACAAGTTGAAGGTGAGGATGATTTGGAATTCAATTTCATAGACATCCGTATTAATTCCATATTAAGGGGTCGTTTACCAACGCTTATCCGGGTAAATGTTTACTGACAAAATTCAATACTATCAATCATTTACTGGGTAAGATTATAGTCCACCAAGACGGTATCGTATGCAACAATTAACCCGGTAAGTGCTAACAGTGGTAAAAGTCATCACTTTCACTTATCGGATAAGACTCTCGATTCTTACCTTCGCTCTTACCGAGTAAGATCCTTGGTTTTTCCTATATTGATTCAGTATGACAGTATGACTTGATAAACGCTTACCCAGATAAACGTTTATAAATTTTCCGTTAATAATATTTCTTTATAGATTTAAATGTTTTTTTTTAATTAATTTTAAATCATCAAATTAATTATTTGTTGTAGCGTGTTGATCAAGTTCTCATATTGGATTAACATCTCACATGGGAGTCTTTTATCTTATTTCCAAAGCATGCATGCATGCATACATGCATACATATGATACATACATTAACATACATGTGCGTTGACGTTTAAACCTGTTAGATCTTATATCGCATTGTTTTAACATGTCCATGACATGATCATGCATCATCACATGATTAAATATCAATCCTACATTAACATAAAAACGACAAAGTTAGGTCAAAAGACTACCAGTCTTTATTACCTGTAATTAAAACGATTAATCAACTGGTAAGCGGTCATACATGTTCCCCTATAAAACCGATTGATGACTACTTCATCTTTCTGCAACAAATCTCGTTCTTTCTCCAACTTTCGAGCAATTAAGCTGAGCATGGAGAAAAAACCGAACGTTTGTATGCAAGATGTCCAAGTCAGAAAAGGGCCGTGGACGATGGAAGAAGACTTGATTCTTATCAACTACATAGCGGATCACGGTGAAGGTGTCTGGAACAGTCTTGCGAGATCTGCTGGTGCTGATTTATTATTTATTTTTATAATTTTTTGTTTCCAGTAGATGAAAATCTTAGTTTTCGCTTTGTAAATTACACTGTCAGGTCTTAAACGAACTGGTAAAAGCTGTCGGCTTCGATGGTTGAATTATCTTCGACCAGATGTGAGAAGGGGTAATATTACGCCTGAAGAACAACTCTTGATTATCGAGCTTCATGCTAAGTGGGGTAACCGGTGAGCATATAATTAAATCAAAACTTTATATTATTAAATTTAATTCAAAATAATTAAATCCATTTTTCTGAGATTTATTAATTACCTTCTCAAATTAAATTGTTCTTTAATTTACATATACGTATCTGTCTCTTCAACTTAATAAATATTTGTCATAAAAACCCGACGTCCATATGAAAAACCTCTTCGTTCACTTTCGAGATGAACGAAACGAAGAGATTGAGTCCCCGAAAATATACAAGACTTCGATTTCGAGCCACGAAACATGATGATCCTCGTTTTTTACAACATGGAACGTGTGTTATAAATTTAATGCGGTCTGTATCTGATTTCATTTAAAGAAAAAGTTTTGCAATTTTTTTTTTCAAAGTTTCAGCAACAGAAAATCTGTTAGAGGCCGTTTACCCAATTGCTTACCCGGTAAACGCTTATTGATAGGAGTCAACACTATGATTTATTTTGATGTGTAAGATTTAGTATATTAAAACATATCGAATGCAACAATTTAGTGGGTAAGCGCTTACCTGAGTAAGAGTCGTCATCCTCACTTACCGGGTAAGACTCTTCGTCATTCTCATCGCTCTTACCCGGTAAAATTCTTGACCCTTCTTATGTTCATTCGATGATGAAATTTATCCGGTAAGTACTTACCAAGTAAGTGTTTAGTAAACGGCCCCTTAGTTTCCTATTTATTTAGCTGTACGGAAATACTTTGTAGGTGGTCAAAAATTGCAAAGCATTTGCCAGGAAGAACAGACAATGAGATAAAGAATTACTGGAGGACGAGGATTCAGAAGCATGTGAAGCAAACCGATAATGTCAGTGGACAAACATCTTCACGACGAAACAGTCAAACAGACATGATTCCGTCACAGACATGCAATGTTGCAAGTCAGATGGAATTTTCCTACCATCCTCCTTGTGACAACATTATGAACTTTCCCGGTCCATTTGCCACCGAGACAAATGAGAACGTTTGGAGTATGGATGAATTATGGCCACTTCAGTTACTACATAATGTCTGAATTGAATTATAAGTATATCAGATGTCAGATATATTGTTTGAAACAGTTTTCTCGTTTTGGTTTGTTTTTGTGTATTGGATGTATAATGTTAACAGAAAATTAGTCCCAACTCCATATTCTCTGTTGCAGTTGCATATCAGTTAACGAACTATGCATACAATCTATTTGTTTCGTAAGATTTATTTATTTTATCTGTTTCAAGGACGTTTTAAATATACATGAAGACATATTTACAGAATTTTGTGTCCAGTTAAACATTGTAACATTTTTGATATTTTATTATTATAAAACGACAAATGACTGCTGATATACCTACATTGACGCAACTTTTGTGAATAGAAACATCAACCTAACTACACCAGTAGAGGAGTGACACGTGGAAGGCGGTGAGTTTGTTTGCTATTTTGGGAAAGTTCAATCTACGACTTTCGATTATTATACAAATTAGTGCACGATGTTTTGGAGAGTCGAAGCACGACATGAACCTAACTTTTATAACTTGGTTACGGAAAGTCAACGTACGCATAAATTTCGACCTCATAAACACGCTCACACACATGCACGATATACGTATACACGTACTTTACATCCACCAAGCATCATCACAGTATGTGTCACATCACATACTTATGACTCTCTTCACTTACCAATTGTCACCGGTTATGATCCTGACGAAATTACAGTCGTTTTTTCGAAAATTTGATATGGATTGGTATGAATTATAGCTTTCTAATCACTTATTTAGATCCATCACGAACAATCAAGGGTTTGGAATTTGGGTCAATCTTTTGGTCCATGCTCGGGTCAATCTTTTGGTCCATGCTCGAACCATTTGTATATTGAGGGTACGTTTGGTATGTGAGATATGTCAGAAGAAAAACATGCCCATGTTTTGCCTCGACATCACTGTGTGTGTATGTATATATACTAGTTGTGTACCCGCGCAATGCGGCGG